ACATCTGTGTGTGTGTGTGTGTGTGTGTGTGCTGTCCACGCCTCTCGTGAGTGGGCTTGGGTGCTGGGGGGTTTGGCTTCAGAGGGAATAGGCTGTCAGCTGTGAGAAATATATCATGGTTGTTGCGTCCCATGCAGCACATCTGGTGCTCATTGGCAGGATGCTGGAGAGAGCATCAGCCCCGACAACCAGGTGAATCTGCCAATTCTCAACCCGCTTCTGTCACTGCGAGGGTCTCCTGCACCCCTCCTCACAACACTCTCACTATTCTTGTTCTCTTTCGCTCTGCATCCCTCTAGAGCCATGACTCTCAGTCGTAGTCATTTTATTTGGTCCTGCTGAAAGGGCTTCAGGGATTGTGACAGACATGTTCTATAAGACTTCCTAACGTCCGGTCGAGGAGAGCAGCATCTGCCTGTAACATCTGACTGCCAACTCACATACTGTACAGGATACACTTCCTTTTTAGAAATGATACATTTAAGGCCTGTGTGCACTTAAAACTGTAAAACTCTGTTAACTGCATGCAAAAAAAGAATTTAAGGCTTCATTTACCATTCATGTTGGAATTTGGATTTACTTGGCCATCCCATACAGGATGTTGAATGGAAATGACAGGAAGCAAAATGCACTAAACTGTAATTCAAATGCTGTCTCACAAGAGAGGAATTTCGTTAAGTCTAACCATTGGGACAAACCATTAAAAATTACATTAATAATATTGACTAATTATTCTGACTTATATTCGCTGTACTCTTTTAGCCTATTAGACATTTCCAGTGTTATTATTAACCAAAACAAAAAATATTAAACTTTTTCGTTATTTGAAATAAAGCTGAAATAAAATAAAATATAAATATTAGAGGAATACCTTGCCTTAAAAAAATGCAAAAAGCACTAAAATTACTAAAACTAAAATAAATATAAATAAAAGCTAAATAGTATTTAAAGTATAAAAGTATTTTAAAAAATAGATAAATAAATAAAAATGACAAAAGAACAAAACATTTGCTAAAACAAACTAAATGAAAACAGAAAAATTAAAAATATAAGCTAATTAAAAATATTATACATATTCTAATAGTATATAAATAGTATATAAATCATACTAAAATAATACAGGACATTTCTCTTGGCAAGTTCAGTTGTGTCAAAACCATCAGTAGAGCCACGAAAATGAAAGCAGATTTAAATTTTGCATATAACCTTATAAAAATAAATATTGACATCAGATTTGAGTCTTATTACATAAAATGTTTTGGAAGTTATAGAGTTCTGGAAATGAAAAGTTACTCAGCCGTGGTCAGTAAAAAAAAGTTTTTTAATCTATCTATCTATCTGTCTGTCTGTCTGTCTGTCTACACACACACACAGACAGATATATATATATATATATATATATATATATATATATAAAACACTTATGTATATTTTTATAAACATAATATTATATTTTAAATTATAATAAGAGTTTTTGTAAATATTTTATTTCAGTATTTCACTAAAAACATTTCTTTTTTTTTTTGTTTATAGCTAGCTAAACTGTTTTTAGACATCCCAAATTAGTCCCAAGAATTGCAAACCTCATGCAAAATGATTGGAGAAGAAAAAAAATCAAGCAAACTCATACAACATTCAGTTTCACATTTTGTTTGTTTTGAAGGTTATGCACACGTCCTGTAAATAACTTTATTTTTAAGACTTTCAAGTTTTATTTTGTACCCTTTTCATAGAAAAAGCCAGAAATGTTTGCTTTCCTGTAGCTCAAACATTGGGTTTGCTTGCCATGATAAAGTTTACTGATAAAGTATGTGCCTTGAATGCAATGAATAAAACTGTGGATAAGAGTCTGGCAAATGCGTAAAATGCAAACATAAATGCAATGAAAGTCAATGTGTACTAGGGCTGCTCAGTTACAAAAAGGACATAAAAGTAACATAAAATCACTATAAAAATACTCCAGAAGACTCGTGGGTGAGTTTACCTGGCTTCTGATCTGGTTACTGTGTATTCAAACCACAGGATGTTGGGAATGAGACTTGTATCTCTCACCAGAAAAAACTCTGAGATCGGCCTGAGACGAGAAAGAGAAACCCAGATCATGAAACAGAGCTCTCTGTATATAAACGACTTGGCATATGAACAACAGTGCATGAGCTTGCATCATTACCAGGCTGCTATCTTGGGAAAGAGCGGCGTCAGCACCTCTTGGGTGATAAAAAACCAAACCACTCCCATCACCATCCCGGCCACACCCCCATAAATCACCTGACTCCAGGTGTGGTACAGGAGGTAGACTCTATGAGGACAAACATGAGCAATGCATCAGAAATACAGTAAGACTGAACTACTGCACTCGCTTAAAGAAAAAGCCCACATTACCTGCTGTATGAAACGAACAGAGCCACGGCCAGTAGAATGATGGACAGTATATGCCGCCATAACAATTCAACACACCTGGCATTGTTCGTCTGATGCATTCTGGAATCAATTTGATTAAAATGAATGATTAAATGCTGTTCTTTTCAACTTTTTATTCAACAAAGAAACTAAAACATGTTTTCAACATTGATAATAATCAGAAATGTTTCTTGAGCAGCAAATCAACATATTAGAATGATTTCTGAAGATCATGTGACACTGAAGACTGCAGTAATGATGCTGAAAATTCAGCTTCGATCACAGGAATAAATTAAATTTTACTATATATAAAAACATTTTAAATTGCAATAATATTTCACAATTTTGCTATTTTTATGGTATTTTTGATCAAATAAAGGCAGCCTTGGTGAGCAGAAGAGACTTCTTTCCTGCTGATCCCAAACTTTTGAAAGTTAGTGTATAAATATATTAATATAAATAAAGTTATGTTTTTTTGAGTAGTTTTTCCAAGTAAATGGTATTAGAACACAACTAAGTGCAGCGAAAAATTATCTTTTCTAGTCAATTCTGTTCTGTTTAACTTTAGTATAATGTTATAAATAAAAATGAGAAAGTCTTACCTTAAATAAAGAAAAAGAAAAAAGTATACAACAAAAAACCAGATGAACTGCGAGTGACTGGAAGGCATCCCGTACTCTGTCGTGACTGAGCTGTGACCTCCTGTTAACGAAACACCACACGATTCAGTAAATTCACTAAATATTAGGGATGTGCACAAGCAATTGACTAGTCAGGTACTAGTTATAAACTTGTGAAGTAATGAAGAGTTAGAGTCAACCATCCCACCAAACTAAGATCTGCTTTTTTTTAGTGAGACAAAAAATGAGAATGGCTGCAAGAAACTCAGTCACGGTCCAGGGTTATTATCATGAACTAAAACGGAAAGTAAAACCATTAAAAATTAATTTTGCTGCTTGACAACAAAAAAAAAAGAATAAAAATAAAATAAAATTGAAAATGAAAAACTGAAATAAAATAAAATACATATTTTAAAATTAAAATAAATTACAAAAATTATTTATTCAACTACACTGTAACAATTAATTTTCAAAGTTGTAAATAAAGACTATTGAAGTGAGTAAAAAAAAATATATATTTTTCGACTTCAAAATTTCACATTTAAATCAGTGTTACTTGTTGTTTCTTGCTTGTGTTATTTACTTGCAATTATTTCCACACCATTTTTTTTTCCAGTGTAGTTGCCAAGGCAGCATTTTTAATGTTCATATAGTTCAACTTGAAGTACTAAACCATAACTAAATAAACTAAAACTAATAAATAAAATGTCATTAAAAAACTATGAAAAAGAAAAACGAATAAAAATCACAAAAACACACAACAAAATTACTAAAACTTTAACTAAAATTCAAGTAAAAACAGGAAATATAAAAATTAATTTTAATTCAAAATATTAGTAAGAAATATAATAGATCTCACTAAACCTCACTGAATGGCACTGCAGCATAAAGGTTAACGGTCTGGGCTGGTTACTGACAGGTTGCAGGTCAAGCCCCAGGGTTGGTTCATGAACTACCCATTTTGTTTTTTGCGCACAGTCTGATATTGCCAGTATTGTGTCTACTGGCATGAAGTCTGGTCCAGAATATTCTGGCCAAGAACCGCCTACTCAGACCGTCTGGCCAACATGTAAATCAATAAAGCACTGTTTGTTTTGTTTTTACATGCGTTTTTTGGCGGAAAAACTCACAGCAGTCTACACACAGAAACACAGCCTCAAACTAAACTCTGATACTCTTTCAAATATACTAATAGTTAGAGTTTTTAATGGCCATTCGTTTAAACAAACTACACGCCGATGACGACACTTACCTCCACACGGCCGAGGCTCCTGTAGAATGTGTTTGAGCAGCCAGTTTAGCCCCTCGTTCATGATCAACCCCCCAAAGAAAGAGATCTGAGAGAGAGAGAATGCACACAAGGGATGAAAAACGCAATAAGCACAAGGTAGCATGCGGTTTGGGATTTGACCCTATAACCTGCTGGTGTGTGACGTCACGTGACTCACCGTATGTAGCTCTCGCTTAAAGACGATCAGAGTGACAAATCCGACGAGGATTGCGATGGGCAACAGGCTCATGCAGGCCAATACCTGCCCCGTCAGATCACCTGGACAAACAAACAGAGTAAAACTGAGTAATTTAGAGAATTTAGAGCCTGTCAAAACAAACTAGGGCTCTGTTCAGAACGGCTACTCTGTGCTATGCAATTGCAAAAACGACTCATTAAACCAAACTGCCAAAGTCAGACATATTTAGACAAACTTGGATTAAAATTTTTATTTCTGAGATGATAAATGGACACTACTCAAGCGAATTAAATTGTGCATTCACGCCATGCCAAAATGACTTTAATTACTAACAACCTGGGACATTCGACTCAGAGCTGTTCACTTCCCTAAACTCTTAATTATGCGTTAAAATAGTGGAAACACTATTAAAGTTGGCACGAAATAAAAATTCACCCCATCTATTTTTTTAAAGGGGTCATATGATGCGATTTTATTTTTTCCTTTCTCTTTGGAGTGTTACAAGCTCTTGGTGCATAAAGAAGATCTGTAAAGTTGCAAAGACTAAAGTCTCAAATCCAAAGATATATTCTTTATAAAAGTTAAGAGTCAGCCACACCTACCTAAAACGGCTCGTTCGAAAACGCCCCCACATATTTACCTCACTATGTGGGAAGATTTGCATGACGCCGCCCAAATGTTCACGCAAAGAAAGAAGGCGTAACTTTTATTCTCGCTGTAGTATTGTTGTTGCCGCCGCCATGTCGTGAAGGTGCTGTGTGTTTTGTTGTGAAAGCGAAACTGCTTTGTTTGGCCTTCCAGAAGAGGACGATATCCGCTTCGTCATGCCTGGAGCTGTTCCGTGCTGGTCGCTGAGGAAATACTTCAACTTCGCGCTGTGGATCGCCGGATCGGCTTTCACCGTGGACGAAGCGGAGTCCAGCCCGGGGTCATCACATGTGGTTGCCGCAAGCCCGCCGGACGCTCCTTCGTTGAATCCACCGGCCGCGCCGTTCTCAAGCCCACCTGCCTCCGCTCACTCTAGGCCTCCGGCCTCCGCTTACTTTAGCCCGCCTTGTGTTTCGTTGCGAAAGCAAAACTACTTTGTTTGGCCTTCCAAAAGAGGACACAACTAGAAATCAGTGGTTAAGTTGTATTTACAACACTGTTCCAGAACAGTTCAACCCAAATATTCAGATGTGTGCAGCGCATTTTATGGAGGACTGTTTCCTGATCCTGGTAGAGTAGACTACAATGCCGGCTGTTCTGACTCAACGACTGTAAGTACGTTTTCATATTTAAAGAATTTGCCACTGATGATTCAAACACAAGTTTTAACGCACTGGATAGCTGGCCAATCAGAGCACACCTCGCTTTTCAGACCGATGAGTTTTGTAAAAATCGACGCGTTTCAGAAAGGCGGGGCATAGAGGAGAAACAATAATGTACAGTATGTGGAAAATAATGTGTTTTTTGAGCCTTAAACCACATAAACACATTTTATTACACTAAATAATGTTATTTTTAGCAACATCATATGACCCCTTTAATGTTATTACAGATTATAAAGGGTTTTATAATTAAATACATCTGAAAGGTAATCTAAAATTACCATTATTAAAATTACCCCCCGCCCCAAGCTAGAGTCCCCCCAGTGAATTTTGGCCATTACCACCACTGTATATATATACAAACAGTCAAAAACTGTGTACAGACAGATGGTTGAGGCCATATCTAGAGCAAAACACTGTCTTTGATTCAACCTTCTGTTCACAAATGCGACACATCTACTGTCTCCAGACTTGTCTTTGCAAACGCTGACCTTTCCAGACAGAACAAAAAGAGATTAATAGCACTTTACATATTAGCTATAGTCTCATACATCATACTGAATGGTTAGACAGTCCCACTGCATCAGTTCAGGTTCCAGGAAGCTTGTTTGTTGGTACAAGGTCTCTTCCCTGCATGATTGGTTGTTTATTGCACAGATGAAAGTTAACTTCTGTGGTTTTGTTGACAGAAAAAAAAAAGGTTTATTAATGATTGAGAATATATTTAATGAAAATATTCAAAGTCTCATCTCATATCCTCTTAGAGTTCTGTGCCTGTGGAAATAGCAAAAAGCACTGGCCTTTTTTGCAGCAGAACACATGAGAGTGATAATGAAAGGATGCAGAGCACGCACTTCTGATTGGCTTAGCTGCTGAGAAGAAATGTCTATTTGCACACTGACAACCACAATTTAAGGGAAGCGCCTCTGCAGCAGAGCTGTCAAAATCACCGACTGGCGTCTGATCAAAACCCGCAAGGTGGTAATATGGACCAACCCGCTGTCTCCTATGACTTCTGATCATCACACAGCCTAATACATTATAAATCAATTATCTGCAATTGGCTGCCAAAGTTTCTTTAATCTCAGGCTTTTATTTGACTAAACTGTCGACTTCTCAGTTTTCGCTTGTGTTCGAAATGTAACTCTGCTTGATATCCACCTTTGGGATTTACAATATCTAATCAACAGCTCTGGCGAGTGACACAGAGGCTGTTTGAATAAAAGATCGCAGCTGTGGGTTGTTCATTACGGGGATGCTGTTATCTTGACAGGTCCTGTTTGAAGGTTTTGTAATGCACACCATAGTCCGATTTCTCCTTTAAGATTCTCTGTCAAGCAAAGGGGCTTCCTCTGCTGCTCAGATAAAGGATATTGCTATGGAGAGGCTCTTTAACTAGCGCTGCCAGAAAGCACTCTTGCCAAATTGAGGCTTGTTGCCTGATTGGAGGATTCGTTTTCGTCTTAATAGCTGCCTCTTCTTCAGGTCCATGACAACAGCAAATCAAGTTTTGAGTGGAGTGTGCATTTCAATATCCACTGACATTTTACATGCATAATATGTGATGAATGAAAGCTAGTTCACACTGCTCCAACAAAACCTAATAATTGTTGGAATATGGTGTTTGTTGTGGAAATGCAAAAAATTATTTATGTAACAGACTGTTGTAGAATGTTTAGAATGTTGGTGTTTGTTCCAGCAGTGTGACCAGCCTTAAAGGCAGAGTAAGCGATTTCTGGTAGCCAATGTTGATATTTGAGTAAATCGCATCATATGACCCCTTTAAAATATAGGCTACTTATTATTACACGGCTCTATTGAATACTTTATTCTAATTGGCTGGTCGCTGTACAGTGATCAGATCATTTTGAACAAATGCCAGTGTTTTTATTTTTGACTAAAACGATTAAAATAATTTTCATTAATTTAAATAAATCTGAAATAAAATATTAGATGAAAAATTTAAGTAAAACCATTAAAAAAAGAAAGTAAAACTGAAAAAAAATAATATTAATAAATATTATAATAGTATGGACCATAAATAATACTAAAATAGCACTGGTAATTACCACTCATTCTGGTAATTTATACATTTTGGCAGCCAAACAGTTTACAGTAGCCACTGACTTCCATATGGAAAAATGCTATTTAAGTCAATGGCTACTGTCAACTGTTTGGTTACCAACATTCTTCAAAATATCTTCTTTGGTTTTCAACAGCTGAAGCAAATTCATACAGGTTTAGAACAATTTGAGAGTGAGTAAATGATGACAGAATTTTCATTGTTGGGTTAACTATTGCTTTAAAATAGAGAAGGGCAAATTGGATTGCAGATGAATAATTATAAATACACTAATATTGTAATATTGCTTTAGAGTTTGTCTTGTTACTATGCAATATACACCTACATTTTAATGGAGTATTTTTCTTTGAGATAGCTTTAAGCTAATTTGCAAGAAAGATAATGAAATAAATCAGTATTTCATATCCATGTATTTATTTATTTGCAAAAGTACCCTTGTAATATACAGGAAAACGATCAGTGATTATATATTGAAACCTGTATTCTTTTTTTTTTTAAGGATGGAATAAAAAAAACTTGTTAAAAATGTGGACAAATTGAGAGCAGTTCTCTTTTAAATTGTACTGTAGTATTACAGTGTGTTAATGGGTTCAAGTGCTCTGTGATGTCAGCAAAAAAAAAAAAATCTTTTTTTTTTCTCATTTAAATAGATTCCCTCAGGTTTATAATGTTCTTGTGCACATACGTAGAAAGTCAAGAAGGAGCCCGCCTATACCACACTCACTGTATCTTTAGAAGTTAAAGTATTAATGCAAATAGTAATCCAAATGCATAAAAGCATCCAGAGTAAGTGCAATATTGCAAAAGGCTTTAATTAACACATGTATGTCCCTGTTTCCCAGTAAGACCATTGGAATATGCTTTCATAAACCTACAGACAAACCTCTGATGCCTTGATGATGCAACATGGGTGATGCTAAATATAGACACAGAAATTGCTTTGCCGCTATTTTATATTATGCCCATGGAGCTGGGCGAGAGCTCGAAATCCTGGGAAGGCCCATGGACAATTTTCCTCAATGAAATGCCTGGCAGTTCATCTCACGTTGTGCTTGTACTGATTATGTCATTCTAATGAAGAGATACCCTAGGCCCTGTCCCACCGGGCAGCTCCACGGTGACGGCTTCTAACGCTTGTTTCCGCCCTGACTGCCTGTTGAGTGCCACTGAATTACCTATGATCTCACCAGATTAACCCTCTCTTGCTCATTACTCTGTACCAAAGTGCAAGTTTACACATGTTGGGCAGCGCTTTGCTCCCGATAGAGGGTGTTTAACACTGATTTGCCCTCAGGACGCATGTAGATCAATGCCTTATGCCTTTATATCACACTGAAAGGTTTGCTGCGATGTGATGTGCAGATTAAAGAGACTATGGATAAGTAATAGCTTCTTTTTTTTTTTTGTTAGTTTGTCAACTAGATCAAACAACTTCTCAATATACACTACTGGTTAGAAGGTTTGGTATTAGTTTTTTTAAATGTTTTACAAAGTAGTCTCTTATGCTCACCTAGACTGCATTTATTAAAGCTGAATTTTCAGCAGCCATTACTCCAGTCTTCATTGTCACATGATCCTTCAGAAATCATTATAATATGCTCATTTGGTGAATTATCGTCATCAATTATTAATAATGGTCTTATTATCAATGTTGGAAACAGTGTTTACTGCTTAATAATTTTGTTTCAAAAACATTAAAAAACCTTAT